TTGCTTCATCTAGAATTAAGATTGGTGCATTTTTTAAGATAGCTCTTGCAATGGCAATACGCTGCCTTTGCCCGCCACTCATTTTGACTCCTCTTTCGCCTACAATGGAGTTATATCCATCAGTCATTTGCATGATGTCTTCGTGGATTTTTGCTTTTTTACATGCTTTGACAACTTCATCAAAACTCGCATCGTATTTTGCAAATTGCAAATTTTCCAAAACAGTTCTATGAAACATAGTGATGTCTTGTGGTATTACAGATATGTTTGCCCGCAGAGATTCTTGCGTAACATTTGTAATGTTTTGACCATCAATAAGAATTTGTCCACTGCGTACATCGAAATACCTGAGTAAGCATTTAATTATGGTTGTCTTTCCTGCACCAGAAATACCTACTATTCCCACTTTCTGACCAGCTTTGATGTGTAAATTAAAATTATGCAACACATCAGTTTGATTGTATGCAAAGCACACATTATCAAACTTAATTTCTCCACGTACATTTATAAGCAAGCCTGCATCTTTCTTATCCTCAACGTCATAACTATAATTAATAAATGAAAATGACACTTTCATTGATGCAATTGCGGGGTTAATGTTAAATAACAAGTTTGATAAAAATGAGTCCAAATCGCCATGTATATTGAGCGTAGTCATTGCAATAAAAGCAAAACCACCTGCAGTAATTTGCCCACTTTGATACAGATAAACTAGCAAATAGATTTGCACTATATTCATTATCATTACCATAGCTGTGTCAGCGTTATCCACCCAATAAGCGTCAAACTTGAGAAGTTTTTTAGTGGAGTTTTGCAAACGCAGCAATGCGGGAGTTAGTTTCAATTTAAACTCTGTCCACGTATTTCCAATGATTTTTATGCTAAATATATTTGCTATTGAATCATTTATAATTCCTGAAGCTTCCTGTTTTGCAGAAGTATACTTTTCCTGTAGCATCATTTGTCTTTTTAGCAGAAAGGCTATTACTGGTGTGTAAATTATTATAAATATGAGCATTACTATAGCCGATAGCACATTAACCTTGAGTAGAAATACTATGCTTATAGCAATAGTTGCTATATTATGTATAGCGTAATAGCAGTAGGTTATCATATTAGACAAGTTGTCTCGAAAGTCCGTAATCTTGTTTGATATTTCACCTGATAAGTGAGAATCAAACCAGTGTAACGAATGACCAAGTGTTCTTGTATACATGCTAGTGATAGATTCAATAAATATTGTGGGTTTATATCTTATGTTTAACAAACGGGTAATGAAAAACGTTCCATGGTGCATTAGCTTGCAAAAGATAAATAACACAATTAATGTTGAAACATCAGAATTCATCTGAATTGCATCTATTATTTCTTTTATGCTGTAGTCAACAGCAATCCTCCAAACAGATGCAAGTACTTGTAATATAAATAGTGCAAAGAAGTACACCTTGTATTTTATAACAAGGGATTTGAGAAAAGTTAGAAATTCACTCATTTTTCGACACTTTAGTTTTAATTATAGCCCAAAGAAAGGACAATGGCACGATTATTGTATTGCAACGTTTACGGAAATGTAATTGTAAATAAAGTCTATGGATGATAAGTTAGGAAAGGTAGCTTGAATCAAAGTATAAGAATGAGATCAGGACATAGCATTGCTATAAGAGAGTTCACTAAATTCGATATTCAAATTATTGTTACAAACTTTGCAGAAGCAAATTGGCTGAAACCAGCTTCGACGTTTGAAGCTTATTTGCAAGAACAAAAACTTGGTGAACGTATTGTTTGGGTTGCTTTTTATAATAATGAATTTGCTGGATATATAACACTAAAATGGAAGTCTTCTTATCCATCTTTCAAAAATCAAAATATCCCAGAAGTTATGGATTTTAACATACTGCCATCTATGAGAAATAAAGGTATCGGATCAGCATTGCTTGAAGTAGCAGAAAAGGAGGCAGCTAAAAGAAATTATACTGTTGGCTTAGGTGTTGGTCTTTATGCTGATTATGGGGTTGCTCAAAAACTGTATATAAAACGAGGTTATATACCGGATGGGTTAGGGGTGACATACAAATATCAGTGTGTTAAGCCTGGTACAAAAGTTGATCTTGATGATGATCTAGTATTATGGTTTACAAAAAAATTAAGATAGATGAAAGCAGAAAGTTAAGAATTCATTTTAAACAGTAACCCTTGACTTAATCCAGTTATACAGCCTACTTATTTTTCTACCTTGTCCAAACATACCAGAATCATTCTTATAAAAGGTTTCAAGAATCAGCTTAACTGAACCTATGGCAGAGGAAAATATAGGACTCTTATCATATTCCCCATCAAGGCCGTTGATTGATGTTGGGCATCCAATTCTAGCCTGCCTGTTGAGCACATGGCCTGCGATTTCTTTCATGCTTGCTAGTTGGCTACTGCCTCCTGTAATTACTATCTTATTAACTGGATCTTTTTGACTATTGAGCTGTTCTTTTACAATTTCGAGTATTTCTTCTACTCTTGGCCTGATGATGTTAATGAGCTCAGATTTTAGTACCTGGATTGGCTCGTCATTTTCATTGCTCTGCACAGTAATGCGTTCATTTTCATCTATAGAAGTTACAATAGTACTGCCATAAAGTATTTTAATACGTTCTGCGTTTTCTATGCTTGTACATAATCCATAAGCGATATCTCTAGTAATGTGAACTCCACCAATAGGGATGCTTTTTGCATATACTAACTTTCCCATTTTAAAAACTCCAATCGCAGTGTACCCGCCACCTATGTCAATAATCGCAGTGCCAAGTTCTTTTTCATCTTCACTCAGGCAAGCCAGTCCAGCAGAATATGAAGATGTTATACAACCAGCCATGCTCAGTCCTTCACTGTTTGCTATGCAACTTTCAATATTAGTCAATGCAGGACGAGATGCTGTGACAACATTAACATCAGCGGATAGTCTTTTCCCATACAGTCCTCTTACCTCTCTTATGTCAACCATATCATCCAAATGATACCTTAGTGGAATATTGTGAATAATGACGTTCTCCTCAATGTATTTTTCAAACGTTTGGAAGATTACACGCTTTATATCTCGATCAGAGATTTGATGATTTGCTGCAATGATTTCATTATAAACATTAAAGGACGAAACGTTACACCCTCCAATATTAACATATACTTGATCTATGGTTTCTTCTGACATTTGCTCTGCTAAGTTCATAGTTGATGAGATGGA